GAGTCTTTTCCAATGACACAGTTCAAAAGAATCAGTTCTTCAGCACTCAGCTTTCTTTATGGTCCAGCTCTCACATCCATACATGACTACTGAAAAAAACGTAACTTTGACTAGACACACCTTTGTCAGCAAACTAATGTCTCAGCTTTTTAATATGCTGTCTAGGTTGGTCATAGCTTTTCTTCCAAGGAGCAAACATCTTTTAATTTCATGGCTGCAGTCACCATCTGCAGTGATTTTGGAGCCCAAGAAAATAAAGTCTGACACTGTTCCCGTTGTTTCCCCATCTGTTTGCCATGAAGTGATGGGACCAGATGCCATGATCTTAGTTTTCTGAATGCTGAGTTTTAAGCCAACTTTTTCACTCTCCTCTTTCACTTTCATCAAGAAGCTTTTTAGTTTCTCTGCTTTCTGTCATAAGGGTGGTGTCATCTGCGTAACTGAGGTTATTGATATTTCTCCTGGCAATCTTGATTCCAGCTTGTGCTTCATCCAGCCCAGCATTTTGTATGATGTACTCTGCATATAAGTTAAATGAGCAGGTTGACAATATACAACCTTGACATACTCCTTTCCCAATTTAGAACCAGTCCATTGTTCCATGTCTAGTTCTAACTGTTGCTTCTTGACCCACATACAGATTTTCAGGAGGCAGGTCAGGTGGTCTGGTATTCCCAACTCTTGAAGAATTTTCCAGTTTGTTGTGATCAACATAGTCAAAGATTTTGGTATAGTCAATAAAGCAGGAGTAGATGTTTTTCTGGAACTCTCTTGCTTTTTCTATACAATTACTAAAGTTATGTCATTCTGAATTTTAACCTAGAAGAGGAAAATGAATTTAAAAGGGTCATGGAATATAGGAATGAAAGTGGACATCGAGAGACTAGTTAGGAGATTGTTGTAATTGTCCAAGTGGGAGATGATGAGACTGTACCAGATATCTACGTGTGTGAAAATGTGTGTGTACACCTACCTGTGCATAAAGAATGAAAAGGACAGAAAGAACATATGTACCTTGATGGGAAAAATGAGCAAATTTTAGGTATGCCAGATATTTGAAGCATGTACCTGCAGTTTATTTTGTGACTGAAATGCTTCATTTACAATTTTTAGTGTTTATTCTTAACGATATTTTGTGGGAGGGAAGTATAACATAGAAAGATATGGGTATAAGAAAAGGTAAAAAACAGCCTATCTATTTCACCACCATTAGATAATGCCTGTTAACATTTTAGCGTTTTCCCTCTCATTTCTTTCTATGAACATGTTTTTTGTTTGGGGGATATTGTGTATACATTTGCATGACAAGAGCTGTTAAGGGTCTGAACTTTTTCTTATTGACATGCTAACAGGCTTGCCTGCCTCTGTTTCAGGGATGCAGGCAGAGGACAAGAGACTTTTGGGTTAGAGGCATTGGCTTTATTGCTCAAGCATCAGTGTATTTATGTCAAGACCTGTTCCATTCCCCAAGTACTTTGGAGGCAAGACAAGAGGGCCAGACGAATAGCTGTATATGTAATGGGTTGCATTGAAGGAGAGCAACCCTTAGTTGAGGGAACTTGAATCTTTTAGAAGACAGGGAAGTAAGATGTCTGTCCTTTGCTCTGCAAGGAAACACTGTTATACAAGGCAGTAGTATATTTAGCCTTTGATTGTAAGGGGGACACTGAGTGTATCTCTCAAGGCTAGTCACTATAAACAATCCTTGGAAACCTGTGAGAACAGAAGGTAGCACCTTTGCTCATAAAATATGCAGAAATATGAGGCTCATGGAGTCTCTCAACAAACATACATGTTCTCATATATCATTACATTTTTTTTTAAAAAGCATTTTAAATGGCTACATATAGCTATAAAAGGTGAATCTTTGGGATATAGCATAATGTACTATCAACTCCCAGTTTTCCAAATAATAATCTTTTCAGTTGTTTCCATTTAAGAAGTTTCACTTAGAAATTTCTATTTGGAGCAAAGTGGCAAAAACTGTTGCAGTCACCTTGGATGTGTTGTAGCTAAATTGGAATAGATAGCATTTGAGCTCTCCCTGATTTGAAGTCTATGCAGCCACCTTACCTTGGCCTTATATATAATATGCAGTGGCTGTGAATGGCCAACATGTCTGTTGTCTCAAGATGTTATCCAGAAAGAGACAGGCTCTGTGATGTTGACTATTAATGCTGTTATTTGTAGGCTAGCCTACCCTGGTTTTCTTCTGGAGAGTGGAGATATTTCCCAACATTTCTGCTGCTCACATGTCTGATTGGGCCTCAGACAGAAGCTCCTTCTGCTTGGCATGAGCAGGGCCCAGAAAAGTCTATACAAATCCCTGTAGTGAAAAGGAAAAGAAATCTGAGATCCAAATAATGACCAATCTGTCCAAACATCTGGAGAGGGCCTGGTCTGGTGATGGGAATTAAAGAAAGGCGAAACAGGACCATGACCAGGTTTTAGTCCTGGAGCTTGTGTGGAGAAATGTACTCAATATGGAGGCTTTCCAAGGGCTGTAGGGTCTTCTAAATTATCTAGACTATTGCTGAAGTGACACAAATGGTTGAGACAAGGCCTCCTAAGAGGAAAGGGGGACTAAATGAAATATACCAGGAGGGCCATTTCCTAGTCAGTAATAGTCCCAGAAAATTCTAGGTTAAAATTTGTGACAGATGTTGGCAGAAAATTGGACTATAAGATGGGAGGAAGCAACTAATCAGCAATTAATCAGCAGTCAAAGCACTGTAATTTTTTAAGTGAGAGGAAGCGTTTTCCAGTGGTGTCTTAAAAGTTTTTAGGAAGTATAAACTGAACTTATTTATTTATTGAACAAACATTTTTTTTTTTTTTTTTTACATGTATTCCCCATCCCGGTCCCCCCTCCCACCTCCCTCTCCACCCAATCCCTCTGGGTCTTCCCAGTGCACCAGGCCTGAGCACTTGTCTCATGCACCCAACCTGGGCTGGTGAACTGTTTCACCCTAGATAATATACGTGTTTCAATGCTGTTCTCTTGAAACATCCCACCCTCGCCTTCTCCCAGAGTCCACAAGTTTGTTCTATACATAGGAGTCTCTTTTTCTGTTTTGCACATAGGGTTATCGTTACCATCTTTCTAAATTCCATATATATGTGTTAGTATACTGTAATGGTCTTTATCTTTCTGGCTTACTTCGCTCTGTATAATGGGCTCCAGTTTCATCCATCTCATTAGAACTGATTCAAATGAATTCTTTTTAATGGCTGAGTAATATTCCATGGTGTATATGTACCACAGCTTCCTCATCCATTCATCTGCTGATGGGCATCTAGGTTGCTTCCATGTCCTGGCTATTATAAACAGTGCTGCGATGAACATTGGGGTGCACGTGTCTCTTTCAGATCTGTTTTCCTCGGTGTGTATGCCCAGAAGTGGGATTGCTGGGTCATATGGCAGTTCTATTTCCAGCTTTTTAAGAAATCTCCACACTGTTTTCCATAGTGGTTGTACTAATTTGCATTCCCACCAACAGTGTAAGAGGGTTCCCTTTTCTCCACACCCTCTCCAGCATTTATTGCTTGTAGACTTTTGGATAGCAGCCATCCTGACTGGTGTGTAATGGTACCTCATTGTGGTTTTGATTTGCATTTCTCTGATAATGAGTGATGTTGAGCATCTTTTCATGTGTTGAACAAACATTTTTGACACCTGCTTTATGCTCTTCTAGAAGCTGGAGAATTGGTGGTGCACAAGCAAACGGGGTTCCAATTTATGGAGTGTCAAGTCTGGAAAACAAACAAATAGTAAATATCTTAAGATTGTTTCAAGCAGTGAATAGTTCTATGAAAACAAAAAACAGTGTAACATGATAGACCAGTGGTTTGGGTACAAGGTAGAAGCTGAAAAGTCACCTCTAGGGAGTGACTGGAGAGGGCTTTTTTGAGCTGAAACATGAAAGGTGCTGTTTGTGGCAAAGGTATTCCAGGCAGAGGGAATGGTGGAGGCAAACTTAAGAGGTAAGAACAAGTGTAATATTTTCAGGGACTGGAAAAGAGACCAGGAAGAAAATGTGCAGGAGGCTAGTGACTGAGGAGGAAAAGAAAGAACAAGATGACCTCAGAGAGATGCTTGGGGCCAGTTGGTGTAACGAGTTGCAGGCATCAGTAAAAGATCTGAATTTGAAGTTTAGTGGGTGATGGGATGGACTTTTCATTCAACAGAATGGTTGAATCTGGATTTATATTGTTTTAAAGATTGCTTTGGTCTCTGTACCAGGGTGGCAAGTGGTTAAGCTGCACAAGTAGTTGCTGGTGGGTGGGATACGTTTGTAATAGTAAGTTAATTGAGATAGCGGATGTATTTTGGTGTAAAACCTAATGAAATTGTTGATGGATTGGCTCTGAGTGAACAGGGAAGAAAGGGAGTCAAGGATAACTTCTAATTGAGAGATTTGGGCTACTTAGTGGTTGGTGTTAAAATTACTGAGGTAAGGAAGACTGAGAAGAGTGGTTCTTGGTAGAATGGCAGGGGAGCGTTACTAATTTCATTGAAAATTAAAAGGAGACCCTAGTAAATATCTCTGCATGGCTTTTTCAAAAGAAAATCTTGCATGATAAAAATAATACTTGATATTGAATTTGCTGCCCAACTTTATTGACTTGTCTTGGGGTATCTAGAACCTTACCTGGCACATAGATGGATAGACGAATGGAAGGATTCAACAGGTATTTGAATGACTGGATGGATAAATGGATAGATGTCTTAGGAATGTGCAGACTGACTCCCTCCATTTCTTGTATACAGCTGTGTCTGTGAAGCCATCAAAAGGTGTGTCTCAGAGGACACAGTGTGTGGGTCTCAGGGATTCTGATACAAACTACTTTGTTCATTCTTCTGAGAATCAAGGAAGCAGTTGTTTTAAATCACTATCCATAATTCCTTCCCTTGAGACAACATGTCATGGCTCACTTCAACTATAAATGCTGATTTTTTTCACTTTATAAAAATCATCACAATATGTTTATTTTACCAGACAGGAAGCACTTCTTGCGGCAATCAGTGAAAAAGATGCGAACATTGCCTTGCTGGAACTGTCTGCCTCCAAAAAGAAAAAGACACAAGAAGAAGTCATGGCCCTCAAGCGGGAGAAAGATCGACTAGTGCATCAGTTAAAGCAGCAGGTGGGTTTGCATGACTGGTGTGTTTTGCTGGGTTGTGAGTTTGGAGTGCTTTCTCTGGGTTTAGTTACTCTTTGTTTTGCTGTGTCCGTCCTGCGTGCTCAAGCAGGTGAAACCAGGTAGGAGAAAAATAGTCCAAGTTGTCGCTGGAACATTTTATTGCTTTCCTGTTTTTGTGCATGTGCCTGGGCTTGTGTGGTTCTTAGCCAGTGCTGTTTCCTTTCTTTTGTATTCACATCTTCTCCCCAGAAATACCTCTCAGCTGTCTTCCTTCCAGTGAACTTTGTATGACTTCTGACCAAATCCTAGAAAGTACTAATTAAATTCTAGGCACCTTCTTTCCCATAGAACTTGTTACCTTCTGTCTTGCTCACTTTCTGGGCCCAATAATGACTCCCATTATCTAGTTCTTTTGATTTCTTTTTCGCCATACTTGCAACTTTGATTCTTCAACAATTTCTACCCAAACTTTCTGGCCAAGAACCATCTCCCAGCCTGTAGGCTTGGAGATAGCCAGGCTATGCTTGGAGACCCCTCTAGCCATTATTTAGTCAAATACTTTTTAAAATATTCATTTGCCATATTATCCTATTTTTCCCTCATCTAGGCCACTGTGTGTCTTTTCTGTGGCTTCCTGGAATTGGCTTAAATGGAAGTATTTATACCTAAAGCATATTGTAAAATCATCTCTGAAATCTTCAGACGTGGTTTCTCCTCCATGTATATATAACCTGAGCGCTTTTGGAATCAACGGTTACAAATAGTCAGTTAGATTGCAGATTCATTATGAAACGCACTCAGCAGAGAATGATTCAGTGGTCTGTGGTCTCACAATGTGGCTGTCACAGCTTAGCTGGGGCCACCCATGGCTCTGAAGCTCTCTGAATGCCTGAAAAGATAAGCTCCCTCCTGTCACAGTTGGGCCAACCCTTTCGCTCCCCAGGAAGGAAAAGGCATCCTTTGGCCCTGAACCCGAGTCTGATTTTCACAGGGCTGCCTTACTAAGGGAGCGTGTAAATAAGCACTGCCACGCCTGGGTACCCTCTGCTTCAGAGGGAGGGTCCCAGTTACTGGTGAGTGTTGGGGTCATTCCACAGAGCAGCATGCCTTGCTAGTGCTGATCCCAGGAGTTAGGGGCCACTTACATCTGACCACTTCGTTTGGGGCTGTGCCCCTTCTATACTAGTTTTTCCACCCACTTGGCCACAGAAAGTCAAGTTGGGGCTCCTTCTTTACTTTCTCCTAGTTCCTTCCCTGTGCACCCTGCATCCTCCCCTCCTTCACATAACCATTGTAGCTTTCTCCCACAGGTTTATAGACCTAAGAAACAGCCCCTGACCTCGAACATGCCATGCACTTGTGATGCTAGCTACAGTCCAGATATTACGGCCAAGTACCATGGGTCCAGCTACGATGCGTACATGATCCAAAGGTCTCAGGTCAGTCAGCTGCTGAGGAGACACTTGCCCCCACCATTGGGGTTGGGGGTGCATAAAAGCTACATCACATCTTGACCTTCAGCTCTTCTGATGATTTCCATTATTCATTGGCCATAGAGTCTAGAACCATAGATCAGAGCACTATATCTTGATTTGTAATGCAATTGCATTTATTATGTATTTGCCAATGGTTCTAGTATTGATGGTCACCTTATAGGTGCAGCTTTTCTGAAACAGGCTGCACTGCTGTAAAGACAAGATTGGCAGAGGGCTTACCATCAGGCTCCTTGAATTACATTTGTCTTTTTGTCTCTTAGATACTTTCCTCCCCAAATCTCTCTATACTCTTCCCAGTAAGGTATTTTTTTAAGGCTGCTTTTTGTTTTTTTCTTTCTCAGCATCATGAAAATGCACTCCTGGATTCCAGGAAGGATTGAGTGTAGCCCTTCAATCTGCTCCTGGTAAACTGTACAAAGCCTGCATTATTCACGACAGGCTTGGTTTTGGGTATCATGGGGCACATTTGGGAAACCCCAGCCATGCAGAGTTAGGCTCCTGCATGGGCTAAAAGCAGGGTCTGAGGGACTGTTGTGGAAAACGAAGCAGCAAAGGAGGAGGATGGGCTTCTTTCCCTGACTTAGGTTTGAAATTCTTCCCCACACCCTACTGGCTACAGAGCAAGAAAGAATGTCAATTTATGTATCCTTGATGCAGATGATAATGAGTCTGAAAATAATAGTCATTGGCTTATAAAAGCATGCCATTTTTATTGAGAGTCTACTTTGTGCCAGGAAGGGAATCCAGTGTCCCTGGGGGACTTACTCTGTCCCACGGTCCTCACAGAAGCTCTCTGAATGCCTGAAAAGATAAGCTCCCTCCTGTCACAGTTGGGCCAACCCTTTCCCTCCCCAGGATATGTGATATGTCAAGATTACCTGCTCTTCCTGGGGTTCGTAACTGAGACTCAGAGTACAGAACAAGCAGCCCAACATACAGAGCTTGTAAGTGATAGAGCTCAGGTTTTATATAGCCCATCTGAGTCCACATATACCCCACCATGTTTAGGAGGCAATTCAGAGTTGCAAGCAGATGGATATTCCAGAAATTCTGAGGTCCTTTTATCTTTGTATACCTAAAGTAGATGCCAGAAACCCATTTGAGAATGGTCTCCAGCCAGCCATTCATAAAGAATAGTTCTGCCTAGAGCTCTTAGGCTTAGGATGTTTGATCACATAATGACTGCTAGTACTTTTAAACTCCCATCATGTGCCAGGTGTGGGTCAAAGGGCTTTATATACATTAACTCATCAACTCCCACCAAAGAGGAAGAGCTGATGCTTTTACAGAGAAGGAGCCAGAGGTCCAGAGAGGTTGGGTGTGCCGCTTAGGCTTCATAGCTGGACACACCATGATGCTTGAACAGACATTTTTGCCACACAGCCTTAAGTGGATTTTGCATTTGGCATCCGGAGTTTCACTGCATACGTTAAATTTTGATTCCAGCACTTGTTAGTTCTGAGTGATGATGAGCAAAATACTGAACCTCCCTGAGCTTCAGTTTCCTCATCTGTAAATTGGGCTAATACAATTCAGAGGGTTGTTTGTGAGGTATAATGTATATAAAGTGATTTGCACATGCCTGGTAGACAAATGTTCCAAACATGTGTGAGCTCCCATTACAACCACTGCTACTACTAGTAGATTTTATCACTACCAGCCCTCAGAGATAGTTTGATTTTTATTTCATCTTTGTTGTTTTTCACATACCTTGGAGTCACAGCTCATTGAGAACATACTGTTGAACCATGGGAGATAGAGCAGACAATTGTTGGCACTAAAGCCTTCCTGGTCCCCATACCCCTAAAACCCAAGCACTTGGGGAGTGGTGAGCAGATGTGTTAGGAGTTGTAGACCCCAGTTCCCAACCTGCACTGAACAGGCCCACAGCACTTACTAAATTTGTTTGCATCCCTCATAGATATCAGTCATAGAGGACATCCCAGGGACAGTGAGTCCCAGGTTTCACTTGCTATCACCCACATAATTGATCTGAGATACCCAGGCCAATGGGAGGGAAAGATCATGGGTCTGGGGATTTTGAGGCAGGTGGGTACATAAGAGGTATTACCCTGTTCAGGCTGCCTCTTGAGCTCGTCCCGTGCAGGACTCTGCCCATAGCAGTCTCAGTGACTGAACATGAGTAGCTCATTCAGCAATCCCCTAACTGTTTCACTTTGCCAAGCACATAGTGGGCACCAAATAAATACTGATTTGTGTGAATAACTGTATGATTTCCACAAGCCAGGTCTATATCAAGTGTTTTCTGTACACATAGTTTACAAACAGTATCTCACTTTTTCCTCATAAGCAACCGACTACCCAATGCATCGCATACTCATGTCCATCTAGTTGGTGATGCCATCCAACCATCTCATCCCCTGTCGTCCCCTTCTCCTCCTGCCTTCAATCTTTCCCAGCATCAGGGTCTTTTCCAAGGGGTCAGTTCTTCACTTCAGGTGGCCAAAGTATTGGAGTTTCAGCTTCAGCATCAGTCCTTCCAATGAATATTCTAAATGTACGTCCCACGATATGCTCATCATGCTCTATCTCTCACTGCTGAAAATTCTTCCCTGGCTTCCCTTGCTGGTGGGATAAAGACAAATTCAAAACAACATGCTATCTGCCTTGTACATGCAATTCCCTCTGCCTGGAACACATTTTCTTCTTTTCCTCACCTAGTTAACACCTACTGGTTCAATTCAGTCTCAGTCCGACATCACCTTTTCAGGGAGGCCTTATGGGACTTTCTCAATTGGGTCAAATCCCCAATTTGGCACTCTTGTAGCACATGTACATCATTTAATTGCACTGGAACAGATGCAGTTTTTGCATTTGTTTTGGTGATTACTTGGATAGAAACTATCTGTCCTGCTAGTTAATGAACTCTATGAGGACTGTGAATGTGACCTCATGACTTTCTTTTTTTCCTGACCACTTGCAGTTACTAACATTTGCTAGTAGGCATTCAGCGAATGTTTGTTGACTGTATAAATGAATGAATGAGTGAATTGCCAGAGCAGTTTATTAAAAGAAGAGACTTCCTTGATCAATCATGACTTTAGACAAAATTGAGCCTCATAATTCTGCCTGTAATATTCCAGGAAGCCACTATCAGAGTTGGTAAAAAGACATGGAGACCTGTTTGCTGAAAGATGACCACAGAATTGGTGCTGTGTTCTTTCTTGCCATGTTGCAAGACACTTTGCAGAGATGACTTTTACCACACTTGAATTTTTGCAAGACTGTCTATATTGAACCCTTCAGGTCCCTTCCAGTTTTGGAGGGTTTTTTGTTTTTTTTTTTTTTCCCTTAAATTAAATGCCACTGAGTTTCTAGATATGGCAGAGATGACTTGCCGTTATGAAAAGAGTTCCTCCATTTCTTTCTGAAAAATGTCTGAGCTTCTTATAAATTAATTTGCCCAGGAATACCTAAACTCCCATTAAACACCTTTCAAAAGAGCCAGAGAAGGTGATATGAAATGAGTTCAGAAATTCCAGCTAT